GATAGGACCATATTTACCTTTGCTCTCATATAACCCCTATTTCCGAAAATAACTTTTTTGCAACAAATTGTTAAAAGTGCAATATGTTAGTTAGTTAGTTAGTTAGTTAGTTAGTTAGTTAGTTAGTAGTAGTTAGTTAGTTAGTTAGTTAGTTAGTTAGTTAGTTAGTTAGTTAGTTAGTTAGTTAGTTAGTTAGTTAGTTAGTTAGTTAGTTAGTTAGTTAGTTAGTTAGTTAGTTAGTTGTTGTTGTTAGTTAGTTAGTTAGTTAGTTCGGTTCGTTCGTTAGTTCGTTAGTTGTTCGTTCGTTCGTTTCGTTACGTTCTTTTTCGTTAGTTCGTTAGTTCGTTTTCGTTAGTTCGTTAGTTCGTTAGTTCGTTCGTTAGTTCGTTCGTTCGTTTCTTTTTTCGTTCGTTCGTTATTTCGTTCGTTCGTTCGTTAGTTGTTAGTTTTCGTTCGTTCGTTCGTTCGTTCGTTAGTTATTCGTTACGTTCGTTCGTTCGTTTTCGTTCGTTCGTTCGTTTCGTTCGTTCGTTCGTTCGTTCGTTCGTTCGTTCGTTCGTTAGTTCGTGTTCTTCGTTTTAGTTCGTTCGTTCGTTAGTTCGTTCGTTCGTTCGTTCGTTCGTTAGTTGTTTGTTTCGTTCGTTCGTTCTTGTTCGTTCGTTCTTCGTTTCGTTGTTCGTTCGTTCGTTTGTTCGTTCGTTCGTTTCGTTTTAGTTCGTTCGTTCGTTCTTTTGTTCGTTGTTCGTTAGTTCTTCGTTAGTTCGTTTTGTTCGTTCGTTCGTTCGTTAGTTAGTTCGTTCGTTAGTTAGTTTTGTTTTTCGTTCGTTCTTCGTTAGTTAGTTCGTTTCGTTATTCGTTGTTCGTTCGTTCGTTCGTTAGTTCGTTCGTTTCTTCGTTCGTTTTGTTCGTTCGTTCGTTTTAGTTCGTTCGTTCGTTAGTTAGTTAGTTTTCGTTCGTTAGTTTGTTCGTTCGTTCGTTCGTTTTTCGTTCGTTCGTTCGTTCGTTCGTTCGTTCGTTCTTTCGTTCGTTCGTTAGTTCGTTCGTTCGTTCGTTCGTTCGTTTCGTTCGTTCGTTCGTTCTTCGTTTCGTTCGTTGTTCGTTCGTTCGTTCGTTTCGTTCGTTTAGTTAGTTCGTTCGTTCGTTCGTTCGTTCGTTTCGTTAGTTCGTTGTTCGTTCGTTCGTTTGTTAGTTGTTAGTTCGTTCTTCGTTAGTTCGTTCGTTCGTTCGTTCTTCGTTTCGTTAGTCGTTAGTTCGTAGTAGTTAGTTAGTTAGTTAGTTAGTTAGTTAAGTTAGTTAGTTAGTTAGTTAGTTCGTTAGTTAGTTAGTTAGTTCAATCCGATGAAACAGAATATCAGAATGGTATAACATAATAGCAAATAAAGATTTTGAAATCTTTACTGTTAGCCTAAACGCATTCTAATCCCCGACAGTATGTTCACACTAGTCCAAATAATGACGGTGATCCTTAGAGAGAATACCGAGATATGCAACTATCGCGCTGCAGTAGGTACGTTGTAATAGGAAAATAACTGATGATGTAGTTAAAATAAGGGCCTCAATATCCTATATCAACATAGACTAACTGCATTTCACAATATCGAAATAACATTTTTTCTTATAAATATATTTAAAACAAAAACAACATTTATTTGTTGTTTTCAATATATTTGTAAGAAAGAAAAGGTCCTTTCGTATTTAGAGAACCCGGCAGTAAATGTGTGGAGTTCCACTTAAAGTGTGAAATCGACGGAGAAACAAAATACTCAATGAAATTTTTCAGACAAGGTCGAACAACGAACCAACTTGCACCATAACCTTGAAGTCATTTAAACGTTTTATGATTTTCAGCCTTAGGGCCTAAATAGTGTACCAAAAAAAAGTACACAAAAGTACCAACTAAGTAGTTCATCCCTGATAGATGCACGTGGACATGTGTGAGTATGTTAAATTAACTGACTATTGCCGTATGTGTATTTAAGTTTGTATTTTGGCAAGTATTCGTAATTTTCTAAGGTGGTTGGTAGGCGCTGACTGTTTCTTTTACTAGTATTTTGGCTTAAATCGAATTGTTATTGTTGTTGTTGTTGTGTCTAAGAAACGTGTTGTGTTTAAATTTAGTTTACTATTTTGCTTTCTTGTGCCTTTTAGTTGACGATGATGATGATGATGAAGTTGTTGTTATTAGTGTTGCTATTTTTGGCCATAATTTTTATATGGTTCACATGAGTAAGATATACCGTTGTAAGTTTTTAGTTTCTTTTTCTTCATTATTTTTAAATTTTAATTATAAACCATAAATTTAAAAGTATTTTGTTTAAATTATGTGCGAAATAGCAAATTATGCAATTAATATTTAGTATATGTTTGCTAGTATTTGTGTTTAATAACGTTTTATATTTGCGTGTATATGTGTATATAAGTGCGCGCTTGAAAATTGCTTTAAACAAATAGTTACCAGTAATATAATAAATTAGTAAAACAAATTTAGGAAACCTATTTGGTGAACCGAAGCAACATTGTTGCAAGATTAGTGGGATATGTGATGTCTTAGTTGATGTTTAAGGCTGGTAATTTAGCAAGTGCAACAGAGACTTATAGCAAAAAAAAATATATATACTACTACTATTGCAATGTGTTAGAGATCAGGAACTCATTATCATCATGTCTGCAATTAAAAGAAGTTAACAAATTATTTTCTTATATCTTGGCAGAGAAATTGTTAAGTTTTGGAGAATAGGACTAATAGATTTGCTTGATCGTGAATTGAATGGATAATATGTCGATTTGGGAAAAGTGGCTAGAACCACAAAGATCCTATGGCGCAAGCCTAACGAAAGTAGGACGGAAAGCCTGATTAGAATTAATAAATCCGAGGTTTGTATGATGGTCGTTCAGATTCAGTCGAATGTAGAGCGTGTGGAGAGGATGGAGGTGCGGCCTTATTTCCCGGCGGTACATTTTCATCCTTACGATGAGCTTATTCGACGACTGACACCGCCCCATTTGAGCTTCTTACACGCCAGTGGAAATTTTTGTACATGATGCCGCAAGCACTTTGCTAAAGTACTCGAGCTATATAATCTCTTACTATTGCTGCCTCGATGCTTAACTTCCGAGATGTGATGGCCTCTTTTGAGTCGGCAACAGCATCTAGAGACGTATTCGTAGACCGAGGACTTGTTCTTACTCATAGAGAACACAACGTGTTAAATCTGGTCCCCCGGGCATGTTTCCTTGATGATAGATCTCATCTTGGTTTATTGCAATTCCGGGGAAAAAAGGTGCTAACAATACCTCTAGTCTGCCGGGACTATACACTGGTTATGATCAGATGTATCCTTGGCCTTTCCTTGCACTCATTTGACATGGGGTCGAAGCAGAGCACCAGTAATCAGGTACTACGGGTGGTCAGTTGCCTGCAGGATTTTGTCCTGGCTGGTCAGTTGATTGAAGATCCATGGAAGGGGACGCTTTGTTAAAGACTGATGCACGGTGAAATATAATGAATTTCTGTTACCGCTCCTAGAAACAAGGTTGTATTTGAACTGATAATGAAAAGATTGGGTAAGAGGTTGGAGTGCGATGTACCATCAGATTCTTGTATCTGATGGTTGAGCGGAATTCTGAGTGTTTTCGAGGTGTGGTGTTGCTGGGAGGAGGTGCGGTGCTGGGTGGAGCTATTAACACCTTAATCTTTAATTTATCAGTTGAGTGTATTGGAGTTTACTTTAAAACATGCTCAACTTATCACAGTAGGCCATTATGGCTACTGAAATAAGTCTTGTCAATTAAAAATGGATCCGTACTTCGGACTACCAATGACGTCCCTAGGTGCTGTTGTCATAGCCATCTCAGTAGTGTGGTTGGACGACTTTAAGATGTAAAGGAATGCACTGGGGTGAGTCTTTAGGTGATAATAATGTTCTGGGAAATTAGCCTTAATCATAACATCAATGTTCGGTATGCCCCTTTTATTGCCTTTTCCTTGTCAGGGTTTGATAGAGCTATACGGTTGGGTAAAAGCCGAGGATACATTTGATCATTACTAGTTTATAGTTCCGGCAGTTTTGAGGTATTGGTAGCACCTCTTTTTCCTGCAATGGCAATAACATTATTATAATATGTATCATGCCCCAGGGCACTTCATTGCCCTTTTGCTACCTTTTCAACTTGCTGTAGGGTGTATCTAAAAGAGAAACCTGTAATAGAAACCACAGTCAAGGTTTCATATAAAAGATTCTAAAAAAGTAATTTTAAAAAAACAACAACGCAACAATTTGAAGTAACATCCATTGTACCTATGTATGTATGAATAAATGTTTATAACAATGTTCGAATAGTCATGTGGTCTTGGTAGGCTTCAAAATAAATGATGTACAATTAATTTATGTTTTTACAAGAATTTTCTTTTATATTGTTGTATGTTTTTTTTTTTTGTTTGTTAAGTTGTTTTAGTTATATTTGCAATTTGCACCGTAATAAAAATAAATTATGAATTAATTAATTCATAAAACGTTACAAAACAAAGTGCACATATAAAAAAAAAATTTAAACAAAAAAAGTATCATGCAAAAACTACTCAACTCAGACTGTATTTTATCTAAATGTGTGAGTGTGTATCTATGTAACTCAACTACTCATATACGTATTTATAATGCATATGATCTCTCAGCACGCAATCAAATTGTAATGAACTTTTAAGATACGAAATAGGAACGAACGATTGCATTTTATACGAAAAATATATATATATATATATAAATATATTGAAGCACTGAAACAGAGTTGTATTTGAAATACAAGTTATTTAGTATTTTTTATTGTTAAAATGCATTACATGATGTTGTTTTCAGCGAATTAACAAAAACATTAAACTAAAAAAAATAATAATAATGATAAATTAAGTACATACAAATGTAATAAAAAGTAAAAGTTTTTTTTTTTTTGGATTTTCAATTAAACAATAATCATGATACATTTTTCTACTTCTATCTTTATAGTTTTTAACATCCAGTCATCTGCTCTCAAGCGGTCATCCAAATGTACAATCACCTTTAGCGGCCACAACACTTACCTCGACTTCTTCATCCATAAGTCCCTCACCCGCTGCTGGAGCTGATAATAGTGTAACTAGTAGTAATAGTGACAGTTCGGCGGGCACTCTAACACCGGATGCAGTCTCACAAACCTCTGCCTTAGGTAGTACAACTACTGCAACGGCTGCCTGCAGTTCAGTGGAGAATCCTTCCAATCCATATCCCCTGACTGCCACTGCTACCGCTATTTCACCCAATTGTTGTGATAATGGGCGACCCATGGTAACAGATCCCATAACGGGACAAAGCATATGTTCTTGCCAATATGATGCTAATAATTCAACAAGACTGTCTACATTGGGTTCCTATCCACGATTGTCATCGGCTACACCGGTGGCGGGTGTTGGTATGAGTGTATTTGGTTCAACATATCCCTCAAATGATCAAAATCCCTATCCGAGTATAGCTGTTGAAAGTGCAACGCCGTTCTACACAAGTTTGGTAAGTTTTTAGAGAGTTAATCGAGTCGAGTTTATTTGAAAATCTTTCTCTAGTATAAAAGAATGATTTAAGAATTTCATCATAGAAATAATAGTCAACATCTTTCAACAGTTAAAATTCCGTTAAGATTTTATTTTTACAGTAAATCGTTATATGTTTGTTTTTAATAGCATTATTCTTTTCTTTGAACTAAAAACCTTTTTTTGTTTCTTAATTTCAATATTGCAAAAAATGTTTATACGTAGGGGAAAATTAAGAGTGACAACATAATTCTTAATTTCTCATGGGCAACCAAATGTTTCAAACAATTGATAACACGTAAATGAAAAATGTCTCACGAAAACGCACATTTTCAAATAGATGTATTAATAACACGCACATCTATTGGCTGGAAAATCATGATCGTGTGGCAGAGAGAAAAGTAAAACAATTTTTTCTGTATATCACTGAAATTACTAGACCGATCGTCATAATTAATATGGAAATAATACAGAGTAGAGGACCTTGAAAACAGCAGGGTGCCAAGGTAAAAATTTGATTTGTCTTATTACATGAAGAAATGCTTTATCATTTTAGAATCAAATAGAGACTCTGGCAGTTTTTATACAAAAATTTTAATTGGCAGAATAACTACCGGTTAAACGATAGTGGTGTTAGAACAATATTTCGATATCCATCTTTTTTGAATATGATTATGCCCTATGGTTCCTATGAGGAGCATTTTTACAATGTGTGTTGATCTTGAGTATGAAAAAAATAGATCATAACCGAATTTATAAGAGAGTTTGTGAGACAATATTTATGTATTTTAACATGAGATTAATGAGTTCTACAGAAACATTTCAAAACAAGTAAGAAATTATAGTCGGGCGTGGCCGACCGTATGATACCCTACACCAGTTATGAATATTAAATGTGATTTATTTTTCATAATAAAGCATTTATCTTCAATATTCCCTTGTTCCGATACATTTAAGCAATTTATGGATGAAAAACTAATTTTCTGAAAGAGGCTTTATATGGGGGCTAGAGGCAAATATGGACCAAGCCCGAAAAAATTTTGTGAATATATTTATATTGACATAATATTTTATTGTGCTGAATTTCATCGCGATATTTGTGTTTATAAGCTAATTTGGGACATTCAAGTAATTTTCTGAAGGGGACTTTGTATGGGAGCTAGGGTCAAATGTGGCCCGATCTTTATGAAATTTGGCAGGGTCATCAAGACTTCTATAAAACTTAGTTGTGCCGTATTTTATCGATATATCTGTATATTTAACATAATTATGAGCTCAGAAGCCCTTTTCGGGGGGTTCTGTTGTATGGGGGCTAGGTGAAATAATGGACCGATTTTAACCATTTTCAATAGGCTTCGTCCTTAGGTCAAATAAAACGTGCGTGCCAAATTTCATCCAAAAATTGCGACCTGTACCTTGCGCACAAGGTTTACATGGACAGCCAGCCAGCCAGCCAGACGGACGGACGGACATTGCTTAATCGACTCAGAAAACGATTCTAAGCCGATTGGTATACTTTAAGGTGGGTCTGGGACGAATATTTTTGTATGTTACAAACATCAGCACAAATCCAATATACCCTCCCCACTAAAGTGGTGTAGGGTATAAAAAGTTCTCCTCTGAGAGCAAGGATTTATTAAGAATAAAGTTCTGGAGAGTTTAAAGAATTAATTTTTTTAATATACTATTTTTCCCATCTTTGTGGAGTGATATGTATTCCACCGCCCATTTTTTGGGCCAAGAACAATCATAGATGGGAACCCAAATTTTAGACCAAAAATACGCATTAATTGTTTATAAACAAGTGAGAGTGTTCTTTACATCGAATATCACTTCCCGACACTTTCCCCATGAAATTCGGTAGGAAGTTTTATGTTCCTATAAATGTTTATTCTATAAAGTTTCATAACTGTTCACGTATTTTTAAGTCAGCAAGTAATTTTCTTATGTACCGATCCTCAATCCATTTGGTAGAGAGGTTTTAACTCGTATAAAAAATATGTGTGTCGAATTTCATCGCTTTTCTGTATTCAGTATTTTTAAGCCAGTAATGATCGTTTAAGTAATTTTTTGAAGGGCACCTTATATGGGGAGTAGGGTCAATTATGGACCGATCCACATAAAGTTTGATAGAGAGTTTTTGGCTTATTTGAAACTTATGTGTGTTGAATTTAATCACTATACTCGTTTTTTTAAGCCAGTAATGAGCGTTAAAATCATATTCTGAAGGGGACCTTATATGCGGGGTAGGGTCAATTATGCACCGATCAACATAAAATTAGATAGGGAGATTTTGGATCATATGAAACTTATGTGCCAGTAATGAGCTTTAAAGTCATTTTCTGAAGGGGACCTTATATGGAGGGTCTATTATGGACCGATCCTCATAAAATTTGGTAGAGAGGTTTTAGATCATATGAAACTTATTTATGTAGAATTTCATCGTACTCGTACTTTTGAAACAGATATGCCTGGGGGCTATCCGAAGACGTGGATCGATATTGTCCATTTTCAATACCAAACAAACCTTATCTACAGAGAATATTTGTGGAAAATTTCAATACTCTATCTCGTTCTGTTTGGACTCTATCGTGCTTTCAACAGACAGACGGACGGACGGACAGACATGGCTAGATCGTCTTAGAATTTAATAAGGACCCAGAATATATATACTTTTGTGGGTCTATGACAAAATCAATATACCCCCATCTTTTTTGATGGTGGGTATAAAAATAATGGCCACGATTTTAAAATATGACGAACTACGCAAACACTTGCATTCAATACATTTTTTCTCGGAGGACATGAACGAATTTGAAATATGACTTAAAAATTGTTGCCTTTCTAGTGCATTATTTCTTATTTTTATATCCTTCACCACTATAGTGGGGAGGGTATGTTTGTAATACGTTTGTAACACCCAAGAATACAGATCCTAAACTCACCTTAAGGTATACCATTCGACTCAAAATCACTTTCTGAGTCTATTAAGCTATGTCTGTCCCTCTGGGTGTCCATGTAAATCTTGTGCACACGCTACAGGTCGCAGATAATTTGATGAAATTTGGCACGTACGACTCTTTTGGTACAAGGACGAAAGCTATTGATCGCACGATTACTTCATCTAGCCCTCATTTTCGTAATGATCGGGCCCCTATTGACCCTAGCCCCCATACAAAGTCCCCTTCAGAAAATTACGTGAATCTACACAATTCACTAATAAATACTAGTATCACGATGAAATTCGGCACAAATAACATTTACATAAACATAATAAAATCCACCAATACATTTTATAAGGATCGGTCCAATTTTTGCACTAGCCCCCACCGGAACTTCTGGTTTGGACCTTATGGCTCATAACTACATATGTCAAATATATAACTATCTTTCCAAAATTCGGCACAGCTAAGTTTGTGTAAGCATGAATAACACAATCAATTATCGTAATGATCGGGCCTTCATACAACCGGCCTTCCGGCACAGCTAAGTTTGTGTAAGCATAAATAACACTGTCAATTTTCGTAATGATCGGGCCCCATACAACCGGCCTTCCGATTTGGGCATTTTAGCTCGTAACTACGTACTATCCAAAAATATGATTCGATTAAGTAATTCCCTTTTTTGTGTCTGTTTAAACCTTGTGTGCACACTACAGGTCGCAATTTTCAAGTTAATTTGTTAAAATTTCGCATATTCTCTTCTCTGGATCCAATGACGAAGACTGTTGAATGATTAAAATCCAAAGAAATGCTTAAACATACTTGTATCTCGTCAAGAAGTCGGACATCTATATAAGCTTTGATGACGTTGCTGAGTTTCATAATAATCGGTCATCATAAACGGATATCAAGGTAAAATTCAACATATTGAAAATTAATCACATTATACACGTGATTGGTGTAGGGTATCATATGATCGGTGACGCCCGACTATAGTTTCATACTTGTTTTATTATAACTTTTAATGTTGTTCAAGTAACTGTATGGAACTAACAACTAAACTTATTTTCCTTGAAGTGAAAGCTACAATGGGTAAGGGTCCTCCAATTTAGATGGGCGGTAAGTCAGCTATTCGAATCCTTGTCCGACTTGTCCATGTCCGATTTAATGTTAGTGCTTTGAAAACAGATTAGGATGAACACAAAGTTTTGACTGGAATGTTTTACAACTTTTTTTTAATTCGTCCTACTAGCGGAATAAGTATACGTATATCATGGTGCACTTGTCATGGTTTATCATAGTTGAATTCCTTATGTCCAAATCGGTTTTAAAACTATCTTATACAGGATGACTTTTGCAGTCAAGGCTTAGCTTTGAAAGCTGAAAGATTATATGAAAGCTTTTAGCTTCAAGTTCAGTCTGTGGAATGCTGACGTTGTTTGTAGCCACCAGCGGACAACTTTCTCTTCTACGTCAGAACGTGATGTGGTTACTTTTAAGCACCGTTTCCATGGGTCCCGGATAATTATTATGGTTGCATAAAGAGATGCAACTTTTAAGTCCACATGAGGACTAAGAATGGCTGTGACATCTGCAAATGTAGTATGGCGCATGTTTTATAGTCCAAATTTTGGATTACGCCAGTCTTGTTGTAAATAAGCGATAGGGACATATCGCCAGAAACTAAGTAAAAACAATGAAAATTCTTTTTTTTCTCAGTGCAATATACATATGAACATTTTATAGTACTATAATCATATCAACAAGTTCTTCACTGCCATCATAACAAATATGACAATTCATATCATATTGACTGCATTGATTTAACAATTTACTATTTTAATTATTATGCAAATAAGAGGACAAAAAAAAAATAAAATGAAAAAAATGTCATGATATTAAATAATGATGAGCATTATTTGTTAAATTCAATGAGGTTTTAAATTTCTCGAGTTCTTTACACATTTTTTTTTTTTTTAATTTCATTTTAATACCACAACCATAATAAAAATAACAATAATACTAACAATAACAGTAA